CAAAAAAAGTGAAATAACTAAGTGAATATACAATAGTTGTACCAAGTTTGAGGGAGAATTACAACAGAAACACCATTCTGCAACCCAAAAATTTCAAATCAAATTAATCAATGCTGATTCACAAATAAAAAAAGCTTCATGATACTATGAGCTGGAAACAAAAATGAAAATGCAAGATCATAAAATGAAACACTGTTTATAATCTTCAGTAACCATGAAAACTACCCAATTATCCAAATGTAGAAACCACCATTTCCACCATGAAATCATCAAACAAATTAACAGATAGTTCTAAAAAAGAGTCCGTTACGTAAGGTTTTAACACCATAGACAAAATAAATAAAAAACCATCTCCACATCAAGGGCATAATGCGAAATTGCAGAATAGAAGCTTGAAAAGGGGACTAAACGACAAGAAAATTCTCCAACATACCTTCTGAGATTTGTGAAATAAAAGAAAGCCCGTATGATCGTTAAATCAAAATCATAGCCGACAAAAACCCATCAGACTGCTGGATTGAAGAGAGAAAATCAATGGAGAAAATACAGGAATAGCAAGGCAAACTCGAGAACCAAACGATTACGACACAATGAAAAAGGCTGTCCCTTGACGAGGCAGATCTGGGAAAAGAGATAGAGGAGGAGGAATCGTGTTGGTTATTTTACTCGTAAAGATAAACAGGTTGACAAATAGACAGAGAGAGAGAGAGAGAAAGAGAGGTCTATACAGCAAATCTCGCGTCGCGTGTTTGAGAGGAGGAAGAGGCCATGGTTATTGATTGTCTTCTTCTCTTCTCTCTCAATGAGATTTTTGGCTTTTGGGTTGGTTCTTTTTCAGTTTTGGTTTTCTAATTTTAATTTCTTGAAGGGGGTTTTGACTTTGACCTGCAACAAACCACCATTTTAGGCAGCTTTCGCTCATCTCCCTTTCTCCTTTCTTTAGTAATGTTTCAAGTCCTCTTTCAGAAATTTCAGAATTAATTCTCTCTCAAACTTTTTAAATTCCCATAATCTGCTCTCCTTCTTAAACAAAAAATTCAATGCTCTACTTTTTGTTTTTAGTTTAATATTTTCTAATTATATTTTAAATATAATAAGTGAGTTATTTTTTATCATTTAAATTTTAAAATAATAATTATTATTATTATTATTTTATGATACCACAATGGTAAGTCCATTGTTTAAAATTTGATTTTCTAATTTATGTTGAAGTTTATTAGTATAAAAATAATCACAATACAATAGATTACTTGTTTTTTTTTTGAATAATTAATTACAACTAAATATTTCACAATTATATGTAATTTTTTTAGAACCTTCTAGTAATTTCATGTTGTGTTATGTGTTACTTTATTATAATGACCAAGAGAATTATAAATATATATTTCAAGATCCTAAATCTATATGTAAATCTTTGAAAATTTGGTTTAATTTGTGAGTCTTTATTTTAATTTTAATTTTTTCATTCTATTTTATTTTAGTTTTACTTTCTTTTTTATTTTAAATTTAATATATAGTGAAGTTAATGGAAATGATTGCCAACTATAAGATTGAGGATATTGCTTTTATTTAATAATTTTTATATACTAATTTAATTATAAAATGTATGGAACACTTATTTAATTATAATGAATTCAACCCGTAGATCAAATTGTGCGATTTATAAGGTAAGGGTCAATACTTAGTATTATCATATAAATTATCACGAATAATTTAAATAATATATTTTTTAAAAAAATTATATAACAAAATTGATAAATTATACTTATTAATTTTTTAATTATTCGTTATGTTACATTTAAGTTTAAAGTAATTATTTTATTAAAATGTAATCATTAATTTATATAATTATTTTAAATCATGATTTTTTTATGATATTTTATTTGATTTAAATAATAATAATAATAGGATACTAGAAGAAAAAAAAAAAGCAGATACATGTATTCATCATATTTGGATTTATTTTTTTTTTTTAAGGTTTTCTAATCGGTAAATAAAAA